AAGGTGTCTGAATAAATTTTGGTTTGACTGTATAATATAAATTATACCCATAAGTATTTTCTAAATGTATACTGTATGTATGTGTCTCTATATATACAGAGTGCACACATATATAAAAAACTTATTTTTGATGTGATTAATCATTGCCCAGCACTATATAATTAATTTATTATTTATTTAAATCATAAATAAGTGACTGTTTGGAGCAGTACAGGACTAGTGTAAGCATTCCTGTGCACGTGTCTCTCTCCGTGTTTCTCTCTGTCTGAGTGATTGACGGTATGATTGTGTGTGTGTAACCCCTCCCTCCACCGGGTGGCGCTGTCAGATCGCCCGCGAGGCAGAGGCAGCCACGTTCCACAGGCAGCTGTTTGAGGAGCTGCGGCGCTCCACCCATCTGACCCGCGACCCTTCAGATGCTGTAGCTGTGGGCGCCGTCGAGTCCTCCTTCAAATGCTGCGCCAGCGCCCTTATTGTGCTCACCAAGACTGGCAGGTAAGAGGGGAGGGGCCTGAGGTCAGAGTTCAGCATGGGACAGGTAAGAAAAAAGGCCATTGAAAAGTTTGGGGTCTGTAGGATGATCTCTTCTGCTCACCAAGGCTGCATTTATTTGATCAAAAATACAGTAAAATATTATTAGTTTAAACAGCTGTTTTCTATGTGAATATCTGTTAAACTGTAATGTATTTCTGTGATGCGCAGCTGTATTTTCAGCATCATTCCTCCAGTCTTCAGTGTCACATGATCTTCAGAAATCAGTATAATATGCTGATCTGCTGCTCCAGAAACATTTCTGATTATTATCAATGTTGAAAGCAGTTGTGCTGCACAATATTCTTGTGGAAACCATGATCTGTTCTATTTTTCAGGATTCACAGATGAATATAAAGTTCAAAAGAACTGTTTATTTGAAATAGAATTTATTTGTAACATTATAAATGTCTTCACTTTTGATCATTTAATGCAGCCTTGATAAACAAGTAAATACACTGTCATGTATGTGTATTTTTCATTATTATTATTTTTTTTCTGACCCTTTAGAATGGTTAACACCATGCGTAGTCGTCCACTGTTTTAGTCTTAACTATGTTTACTAAGAGCAGCATGGTGATGCAGAATAACTTAATATTCTCAATTCAATTTCTCATCATTCCCTAACCCTTTTTTCTCTGAATGGCTATGAGTAGTGCTGTCAAACGATTAATCACATCCAAAATAAGTTTTTATTTACGTAATATGTATTAGTACTGTATATTTATGTATATATAAATTCACACACATACAGTATGTTTTGCAAATATTTGCGTGTTTACGTGTGTGTGTGTGTGTGTATTAATATAATTTGTTATATAAATATTTAATATGTAAACATACACATGCATGGATATATTTACGAAAAATGTTGTGTATTCATATATACATATTACATTTAGTCATTTAACAGATGCTTTTATCCGAAGCGACTTACAAAAGAGGACAGTAGAAGCAATCAAAATCAACAAAAGAGCGATGATACGCAAGTGCTATAACAAGTCACAGTCAGCTTAACACCGTACATGTAGCAAGTTTTTTTTATTTTTTATATCGTAATAAATAAAAAGAAAACAAGAGACTAGAAAAAGAATAGAGCAAGCTAGTGTTAGAGGCCTTTTTTGCTTTTGTTAATTGTATAATGAAAAGAAAATAGATGGATCGAATACATATATACACACATAATAAATATACACAGTACACAAAATATATATAATGTAAACAAAAACTTTTATTTTGAATGCGATTAATGATTTGACCGCACTAGCTATGAGTGAGTGTCTGGACAGTGCAAACAGAACAGAATGGAGTAGGGTTTAGTTTTAGCATTCTGTCAGTAATTTCATGTAGTCACATGATTGTCTCTGGAATGTTTTCATTCACACGCTGTTGTCTGATTGTCCAGGTCCGCTCATCTGATCTCCCGGTACCGCCCGCGTGCCCCAATCATTTCCGTGACCCGTGACGAGCAGACGGCCCGACAGGCTCATCTGTACCGCGGCATCTTCCCCGTGCTCTACAACAAACCTTCCAACGACGTGTGGGCCGAGGATGTGGACCTGAGGGTCAATTTTGCCATGGACGTTGGTAAGACACAGAGGTGGTTGTGATGATTACACAAGAAGCTAAAGACTGCAATACACATTTTAAAACACCTATGCATCATACACTGCCAAAGGGTTAGAGAGGAAAAACTGGACATCACACAGAGCCTCATGTTTGAAAACCGGCTCATCTGACTAAATGTGACCCTGGAGCATAAAACCAGTCATAAGGGTCAAATTTTTGAAATTTATATTTATACATAATCTGAAAGCTCAATAAATAAGCTTTCCATTTGATGTGACGACAAGATCGCAAATTCGATGAGAAAGCATCAGAAGCCCGCAGCTTATAACGTAGCAAAAGAGGTAAAATTCAGATCACGACTAATACTACTGATGAAAAAGAGTTTAATGTTAACCACTTTCGTTTCCATTTAACTATAAACTGATAAAAGTTCACAGAGATATTAAAGTGTTCCGTCGCTACGACGATTTTCCGTCATAAAGACAGTCACTTGCTTCATTCCTGAATGATTCAGCCGTTCGAACGAATAAAATTAGTGACTTGCCGCCACCTGCTGGCGGACTTGGTTTCATTTTTAGCATATAATTTCAGTTATTTAAATCGTTTTAATATTTATGGATTCAATTTTATATGTAAAACATTCATCTCCACATGAGTTTATGAATTTAATTGCACTCATGCCACCTCTGAGCCTCATTAAACATCTGGAAATGTGCTCCTACATTTTTTAAATTAGGAGGACAAGCGCTCCTGACTGAAATTATATGCTAAAAATGAAACTAAAAATCCGCCAGCAGGTGGCGGCAAGTCACTGATTTCATCACTGAATCATTCATTCAATTGATTCGTTCAAACGGCTGAATCATTCAGGAATGAAGCAAGTGACTGTCTTTATGAACTGACGGAAATCCGTCGTAGCGACGGAACACTTTAATCCCTGGGTTCATCAGCATGCATTGATTAATCCCATGTTGTAGCAAAAACAATTATAAAATTGCGACCAAATCATGTGCTCAACTGAGAAAGTTAGTCGCAAATGAGCCACCAGTGAGTAGAATGAGTCGAGCCCTGTGATATGATGCCTGTACACAGCTGTGATCACAGTCGTTCACATCCAGCCCTCTGCTCTCTCTCAGGTAAGGCTCGTGGGTTCTTCAAGCCTGGCGATGTGGTGATCGTCCTGACCGGCTGGCGTCCAGGATCTGGTTACACCAACACCATGCGCGTCGTCCCAGTGCAGTAAGCTGGACTGGACTGTAGCCGTTCATACATCACTCCCTTCCCTCCCGACTCCCGCAGGCTTTCAGACCGGTGACCTGATGTCGTCGTCTTCATCATCATCTTCATCACACGAGCCTGGCTCCTCCCACAGGCCAGAGGACCACCTTCACTTAGACGTTTCTTCTCACTGCTTTCATTTCCTTTTCAGTCTCGAGCATAATCTCTCACACATTTATCCAGAGCTGTCCGTCTGCATGCCCGTGAAGCACCTTTGCCCTTGAACACACAGCAGTGTCCTGAAACGAGCGTGCGGCGAAGGGCTAAGGCGTACTGTAACTCTCGTTAGTTTATTTGTAGTGTTAGTCTGCCGTGTGCTTTATTTGTGTTCACACTCCTAATGATGTTACATTCTGTGTTGCACTTGTCTATAAGACCATTAGATTTGGGGACGAGGCGACCAATGTGCTATATATTTTTTGAAATGTTAACGTTGGGATGTCCACGTCCGGCTCATTTCATTGTTTTAGTGGAGTAAGAGAACGGCAGAGTTTCTGAGAGATGAATATCGATTGAGCAGCGTCGGTCACATTCCCAGCATCCACCTCTCCGGTTTATCCCCTCACAACGCACTCGTCTCTGTCTGCTGCTCCTGAATGTGTGTGTGTGTGTGTGAGCGAGCGTGTCTGTTTGTTCAGATCTACCTGCTTTGTGTCGCTAGGGTGCAAGATGTACTTATAAGTGTAAGAGTAAACTATGGTATCATTCTAATGTTGTATTCAAGACTGAATTAATAAAGGAGACGAGCACCTGGCCGGACTACTGTGGTTTTATTGAATTGATTATAATACATTATATTTGTTTTTGATAATCCATTTCACTTGCTCACTGTACAGTTTCTCTTTTAACTTAATAGAAAAGATTAACCTCGACCTTTATTCATAGCACAAGAGTTGCTTTATAATACACATTCAATCACAACAATATACCCTTCTGTTACTACCAAAAGTATCAAATCTGTATTTAAAATGTATTCAAAAGCTTCAAAATGAAAATGTTTTCTTATCGAACGTGAAATGGAAACGCAATCAGCTGATATAATTATATTTATTAAATTACTATTTGTTATAAAACCTCTATTATAACACTTTTTTTTAAAGCATTTTGTGAACTGATGTTCAGCTATACTGTTGTTCAGATACTTGCTATAGTGCCACATCCGTAACATCATAGTGCATGAAATCCAACTTGACATTATTTGCATTTGTGCACTGGTTCGTGAGCGTTTCATGCCGTTTAATCACTGACAGTGGAAGTGTGGTTTCTCCTATTCATTTTTCATGTGTTTTTTATATAGCGGATGAGGTCTGGATGAAGTAGCTGCTCAATTACTGGCACTGCTTTTCTGATGAATACTCTCTTTGTGTTCTGCTCCAGGTCACTTACATAAGGCTCAGTTGTACAGATGCTGCTATCAGATGAGAAATGGAGCCAGAGCAGTTAAGTGTATTAATACAGGCGTCAGCACAACATCAGGTGACAACCTGACTCGATGCAGTTCAATTATCATGCAGGAGGAACAAAAATATTCTTCGTATTATATTAATGTTACCATGAACTGCAAGAATATTCTAAAATGTATATTAAGTTCAACAACTCAATGTAAAGTTAATGTCAGGCAGAATTAGAAAATGAAGCATGTAGTCTTTAACCAAGAGGTGGTTTATTGTAGAGAAATCTGACTGAATGCAGATGAGATGAGTGAAAACAGAAACACATGTCAACAGAATAAAAACTCTGGTTCTATTGTGGTTGATACAAAAGAGCAGCTGTAAGAGCACCTTTATTGACCTATTGTAAAGGAGATGATATGAGCGGCGGTGTCAGCTGAAAGCTCATTGGCTGTCCTGGCTGTAGACCACGCCCACCTGCCGCCGGGCTTCATCCATGATCTCAGCCAGCAGAGCCGAGTCTGCATGAGACATGCGTGAGCTCTCCTTCAAACCTGCACCAGAAACCACCAGATCACGTGAAGGTCAAGCTGATCATTTCACAAACGTGCCATCTATGGTTTATGCTTAAATAACACGGCCCTGCACCAAAAAATCCAGGGGCCAGTTGTCCAAAAGAGTTGAATCTGGATCAGAATGGAAATCCCATGTTACTTCTGTGCCGGTTTTTCAAAGCAAAACTGGATTGGATCACCCTGATCCAGATACACACTTTTCCAGATTTCCAAATCTGGATTACTAGTGCTCTACGGAGCCCCTAAAGGGACACGCTGATGGAGAAACAAAAGCCAATGTTTTGCATTCTAGTTCAGCATTGCATTTACACAAATAACTACCATCTCTGATGATTGTGCAAATGTAGTTTACAATCAGTGCTAAAAAAACACTTTCAATTAAATATATTTGTTTGATATTGACAGCTGTTTGGGGATATATTACATGTTACAAATGTTGCACTTTTTGGACCATTTTTAAAGTTACATTTGTGTTGCTGAAATCCACTCGTCTGCTGGGATCAGAATAATCCAGGTTTTCTAGATCAGAAGTATCCCAATCTTACTGAAACCTTTTGAACGACACAAACTGAGGAAGATTGGATTTTGTGATCTGATCCGAATTCAGAATCCTATTTTTTTTTCCTTTTGAACAACCCATTTTCAAGATTTGATCCGATCCGATTACTTTTGAACATCTGGCCCCTGCTGATTTGCAAAAAAAGGCCTAATATATATGGATTTTTTTATCTCACAATTTGGAATTTTTTATCCAGAATTCATAAACTCAGAATTACAACATATATAGTCAAAATAGCAAGATATAAACTCACAATTCTGGAAAAAAGTCAAAATAGTGAGATATAAAATTGCAATTGAGAGAACACAAATCAGAATTGAATTGGGCAATTGATGTTGAAAAGACATCAAACTGACAGGTGAATATGCAAATCAAAGTGACATCAAAAACCTGACATGACGTTGATTTGATGTAAACTGAACGTCACACATATCGGTATACAGCACATATACATTAAACCAATTTCAGTGTGGGATTAACTTCCTATTTTCACCCAATTACCCCTGGAAGAAACTGCTGTCCAGACAGAATTTAGAATCATGTTATAGAATCTTGATCAAGGCTTGACTAATATTTGCCATCAAATTGATATGAAGCTACCCGCTGGGAAGTAGCAATTTTTGTTTTTTATTCCATGGCGGGGGGAAAAAACAGAACTGAGAAATTTAACTAAATGTAAGCTCAGAATTCAGAGGGGGAAGAAAAGTCAGAATTGTGAACTCTGAACAGATATAAACAAAAAATAGTGTAGTTGTGTACCGTGGAGTAAGCAGCGGCGGACCTCCTCGGCCTCGTAACACATGCCGGTGCTGTTGATGAAGTTCAGCGGCAGAGACGGCTCCGGCACCGGATACTGAGTCTCCACACCGTTCACCATCAGAGACGTCGGGCACCACATGTGAGCCGGAACCTGATCAACAGAACAACCCCCAACATTCACCAGCGGCTTTCTCAGAAAGTGCAATCTGTGCCTCTAAAGCAAGCTTAAAACTCATGTAGTCTGACTGAGAAATCTGACCCCGGAGCACAAAACCAGTCATAAGGGCCAATTTTTCGAAATTGAGATGTATACATCATCTGAAAGCTGAATAAATAAGTTTTCCATTGATGCATGGTTTGTTAGGATCGGACAATATTTGAAAATCTGGAATCTGAGGGTGCAAAAAAATCTAAATATTGAGAAAATCATCTTTAAAGTTGTTCAAATGAAGTTCTTAGCAATGCATATTACTAATCACACATTAAGTTTTGATATATTTACGGTAGGACATTTACTAAATATCTTCATGGAACATGATCTTTACTTAATATCCTAATGATTTTTGGCATAAAAGAGAAATGTATAATTGTGACCCATACAATGTATTGTTGGCTATTGCTACAAATATCCCCCAGCGACTTAACACTGCTTCTGTGCTGCAGGGACACATATGCTTTAGATTTTTTAAATCCTTTAAAATGTTATACTCTGACCTGTGAAGAACAGAGATACATTTTATATATCTATTAAAAAAATCTGATGCATCAGACACAAAGTCAATCAATCTATATGGCTAATTTACTGATGCATTTAACTCCATATCTTTTTTTAAGTCAGTTATTAAAATTAATATTTCAATGATTATATATATAAAAATATACTAACATTAAATGCATTTGCTTACTCAGGTTATTGTATTTTAAGTCTCTTGTATTAAATTATTTTAATCATTCTATCATTTTCCCAAATTATAATTTTTTTATTTTTAATAATTTTTTTAAATATTTTGAATGTTGTTAGCACATTGAGACACATTTTAAGTATGAAAAGTACTATAGAAATAAAAAATATATATATTATTATTATTAAAACGTGATGTGTCCTGCAGGCCTGCATCAGATACAAAGTCACTTTGAATAAAAGCATCAGACAAATGTAAATAATCTGAGTTGTTTGGGTACACGTGATTTAGTTTCAGCAGTGCAGCAATAATTTAACTTTAAAAGCTGTACTAGTCAGCAGTTACTGTAAAATATGATCAAATATTTACATTGCATGAGTTGAGAATTCAAGCCGAGCCGAGCAGAGCAGGAATGGAAAGTTGTGAGTGCTTTAACCTCGTTTAATAAAGTTAGCAACACTACTGACATGAGTTTGTTTCTTCAAACCTTGATGGTGCCTTTGGTCCCGACGATCACGGCTTCGTTTGGAAGCTCGGCGGTGATTGTGCAGGTGCAGACGGCCAAACGCTGTCCTGAGAACTTCAGCGTGACGACCATCGCTTCATCTACACCTGCCAATATCACAATATAGCAAACCTCTCAGACTGGGGGATAAAGATGATTTAGTTTCGGGTTTGAGAGAAATATGAGACCAAATGTACAGAGAAGCGGATTCACATTGGTGATGAATAAGACGAGCTCCAAGCTTTAAGTTGAAATAAAAACATCAAAATTAAATACATTAGATTATTCAAATTAATGAATTTTAAGTCTCTTTAGTCAGTGCATTCAGGTTTTTTTTTTTCATTTTTTAATCATTTTTTTAATGCCTTAAATGTTGTTATTCTGACCTGTGAAGCACAATGAGCTGTATTTTATGCATGAAAGGTATTATACTAATAAAGTAGAAGTTGTATATTTTTATTTAATGCCATGTCAACAGCTTAGGCTATTTTCATGGCAAAAACAATAAAAAAAAATACAACTATAACAAATACAATAAAAACCAGCAAACAAACAAACAAGATTTTTTACATTAACATATGATAAAAATTCTAAAACTTTTTCTGGCAAAATTATACTAAATAACTTTTTTAAGTGAGTTATTATACTAATAAAAAGTATTATTATTATTATCAGTGTATTCTTTTATTTTTATTTTTATATTGTTTAATTATTTTTAATGCCTTAAATGTTGTTATTCTGACCTGTGAAGCACAATGAGCTGCATTTAATGCATGAAAGGTATTTTATTAAAACAAAGTATTATTATTATTATTATTATTATTGAAATGTCATGTTATACAGATTGAAAAAAAATATTATTATTATTACTATTATTATTAAAGATACAGTCAAACCAAAAATGATTCAGTCACCAGATATTTTATATATTTTTATATTTCAGACATTATCAAGATGAATTTGTTCTGACACGGTTTAACTCTTGAGTTCTTGTCATATTTTACTACCATTTTCTAAACTATAGTGAATAAACTGTGGCGTCTGAATAAATGCTGGTTTGTAATTATATTATGTTCCCAGCAGGCCTGCCTCTCACACAAACACAGTAGATCCCTCTGAATGTCTAACTGACTAATATCTGTGATATTCTGCTGTCTGCATGCGAGGGGGTTCAGTACCAGTGTCCAGACAGACTCCGGTCGCTTGAATGGTCTCCGGTTTCTCTCCGTTGAACACCATGAGCACAAACTGTATGCAGTAGATGCCGATGTCGAGCAGCGCTCCTCCTCCCAGCTCCTTCTGAACAGCACGCTGCACATGTGTGAGAGGAACGCCGAAATCCGCTCGCACCACCTTCACCTCGCCCACATCGCCCCGCGACAGCAGGCGACCGATCTCCAGCGACACCGGGAAGAAACGCGTCCAGACGGCCTGCAGAACAAAAACATGCAGTATGCAGACTGATGTACAATACAAAAGATGTACAGTAATTTACATTTGTGACCCTGGAGCACAAAACCAGTCATAAGGGACCATTTTTTTATACATTATACTGAATAAATAAGCTTTCTATTGATGTATGGTTTGTTAGGATCGGACAATATTTGAAAATCTGGAATCTGAGGGTGCAAAAAAATCTAAATATTGAGAAAATCATCTTTAAAGTTGTTCAAATGAAGTTCTTAGCAATGCATATTACTAATCAAA